GAGGTGCACCGGCCAAGATCCATCCTGGGCTGAAATTTGAATCACTGGGCCCAACGACCAACTCAGACAATTAATGAAACTAATTTCTGGTGAGAACTAGATGTCCTCCTTTGCACTCCCAAATGGAGGACTTGGTGTGCTTGTTTCAGAGAGAGTGTAGGAGGAGGAAAAGAAGGGAAACGACTCCACATCTCAGCAAGATCAGGGAGACAGAAATTCGGGAGGAGGTGGGGGAATGAAAATGACGGGGAACAGGTGGGCTAAATCGGTGAGGTGTGTGGGGAAGAAACTAAGTTAGGAGTGGGTGGCTGGTTTTTCCAAAGGCAAGGATGGTGTCTTAGTTGGGAGCAGTAAGAGAACTGATTTCTTTCCATAAGGCTGCCATGCAGTCCCCTCCAGACTGCATAAGGGAAAATGCAGGTAGAAGTAGCTCTTCTGCTTTCAACAAAAGGTGAATATTGTATGCACAGTGGCAGCAGCCCTATGGCACCTGAGAGGCTTTGTTCCTTTGTATTTCCCATATTTCATAATAGCCCTCTGTAAGCAGTTTTTTGTTGTTTTGTTTTTGTTGTAGTTTTTGTCTTTGTTTTGTGATGGAGTCTCTCTCTGTCACCCAGGCTGGAGTGCAATGGCATGATCTTGGTTCACCGCAACCTCCGCCTCCCGGGATCATGCAATTTTCCTGCCTCAGCCTCTGAGTAGCTGGAATGACAGGCACCCACCACTGTGCCTGGCTAATTTTTGTATTTTTTTAAGTGGAGACAGGGTTTCACCATGTTGGCCAGGTTGGTCTCGAACTCCTGACCTCAAGTGATCTGCCTGTCTTGGCCTCCCAAAGTGCTGGGATTACAGGCATGAGCAACTGTGCCGAGTCTGCAGTTGATGAACTTTCATCTTCACTTAACAAAGCAATGACAATGCAGGGAGGCAAGTTCCTAATGATTTTCCTTTATCAACCCCAAAAGAGAATCACACTCTTTTCCTTCCTGTGGCATCAACCATCTCATTGTAAGTCTTCATGAGCCGAGCAAAGTATTATGTGACAAAGACAGAATCCCATGAAGGCCCCAACCTCTTTAGAACAAGATGTGCAAGCTCTCAGGAGAGGACCCAATTAGTCCGGGCAATAGTCAGTCAGCCAATATTCTATACAAGCAAGAAGTTTAGCGTTTATTTTGAAGACTCTTGCAAAAGGACTTGGGTCTGCAAATACTTGCTGATTCTCTGAGCTAGACTCTATCCCCGGGATTCCCATGGCTTTAGTGGTGCCAACCAGAATTAAGTCCTGAGGATCAGAGTGAGGCTCTGATAATAAAAGAGAGCCACATGCAGGGGGCTAGAGCTCAGGACATGATTTGGCAGGAGCTCAGGAACAGAAGGCACCAAGCAATCCTGTAAGAGACTCATCATTGATGCAGCAAGTCAGCCAGACTCTTTCTCGGTTTGTTCTGCAGTCCTACAGGGGGCCAGCTGTGAGTCTTATGTCTGTCTCACACCCCTCCACAGGCAGCTTATGTGCCCTGAAATGCCAGTTTCAAATTATCCAAACTGATGTGGGTGCCCAGATGTGAATGCTATCTTGTAAGCAACACGAATACGTGGACACAAAAAGTTATCATAGAATGAGTATGCCATTGGGATCTACATGGAAAAACTAGGAGACTGTGGGTTTTATCAACATTTAAACCACACCCAGTGTGAATCAATTCCCTTGCTTATAGCTAGAGGTAGATTCCTTCCCTGGCATGGTCTCAGTATCTACCTCAAGAACACAGCTCTTGCCCATCTCAAAGTTGGAAAACACAGTGGTAGACTCAATATCTAGAACCTTAGTGTATCTGCAAAGTTTGAATTCTTTCCATAGTCTATTCTATTCTTTTTTTCCAATTGCTTATTGTGGTAAATCCATTATTTTAAAATTTATCCCAAAGCTCTATTTTCTGGCTAAAACTCATGGCCTACTTAGAGCATTCTGCCGTCTTTTCACTTTCAGAATAAGCATAATTTATTTAGGGATCTCTACTGCCACAGAATATTCTATTTTTCCATAAAACCCCTCCAGAGGTACCAAGCAGAAAAATAGTGAATCCTGAGTTGAAGTGGAGATGCTAAGCAGTAAGCGAGGTTCCTTCACTAGCTAAATGACTCACTCTCACCCTCAAACATTGCTCTTGTACCATTCTAGTCCATGCTCTGGTGAAAGTACAAATTATTACATGTCACAGGTTTGGGGGGTTGTTCAAAGATAGACAAAGCTGGGAACGTTAAAGCTCCTGATGCCAAGCATCCAACGTGCTGGCTGGGTGCTGTTATTCATCCTGCCCACAGGAAGGAGAAAGCTTCTTTGTGGAGGACTCTCAAGCCACTCATCGTGGGGACTTCCTGACATAAAACGCTGGGCTGGTGCTCCGTGGTGAGATTCTCTCTTGCCCACTGTTTCCTAGGTTTGGTCAACTAAGAACAACGCATTGGCCTGCCAGCTTCTGTTTGGAGGGCTTGGGAACTAGATGGGAGAGTGGGAGTGGTTGTGATGGTTTTGACAACTATAGAATTTCCCTGTTACTTTGCTTTGTCTACCAGCATAAGCCAGGAGGAGCTGGAGTTCCATGCCAACATGAGAATATTTGTCCTCAGTCCTTCCTGCCACTTTGTCACCTTCCTTGGGTCCCCATGCACAGCGACTCACCAGACAAACCCCTCCCCTTCTTCTGCTTCCTTGGCCATTCTCCTTTCTCCTTCCAGAGGAGCCCTAGTGTCGTCGATAATCTACTCTTTGCTTTTAGACCTAAAGTAGATAAACTTTAAAGAACTTGCAAAGAGTTTAAAAGTTACTTTAACTTTATATATGAATATATGGGTGTATATATATGTGTGTGTATATATATGTGTATATATGTGTGTGTGTGTATATGTGTGTGTGTGTATATATATATGTATATATACACTTTTTTTTTTTTTTTGCGGCGGGGGATTGAGCTCACTGCAACCTCTGCCTCCTGGATTTAAGAGATTCTCCTGCCTCAGTCTCTCAAGTAGCTGGGATTATAAGCACGTGCCACCAGGCCCACCTAATTTTTGTATTTTTAGTAGAGACGGGGTGTAACCATTTGCTCTTGAACTCCTGGCCTCAGGTGATCCACCCACCTTGGCCTCCCAAAGTGCTAGGATTACAGGAATGAGCCACTGCACCTGGCCTAAAAAATATATATTTTAAAAACTTAGTCCAAAGTAGAAAAAATATTATAAACCACCATAAATGAAGAATTTCAACTGTTTTAAGTATTTTGCCTGTCTTATTTAAAACAATTCTCTGGCATCCAATTATTATGTCCATAGATAATTACGTAGGTATCTCTAAATAGCCAAGGACTTAAATAATTATAAAACTATTTAAAATATAGTTATTGAGGTTAAGGTGGGAGGATTGCTTAAGCCCAGGAGTTCAAGACCAGCCTGGCCAACATAGTAAGACTCTGTTAAAAACTAAAAACAAAAAACAAAGAACAGTTATTGCTATTATGAGGAAATTCAAGTCGTTGATAAAGTTATGTTTTCACATCTTCCCACCTTCCTACCTCCTACGCCCCTCCAAGAAAAATCTGACGCCAGTTCTCATGTGTTGTTATAACCTATCTTTATCCTCTCAGCCTTGTTTCTGACAAGAGCTTCCTTTAAAGAAGACAAATTTAGGAAGAGATTCCATTATGTTATTAGAATCTCGTCCAGAATCACATCTATTTTCGAAAAATTTTTTCTTAGCTCTGTTTAGTGATTTCTTAATGATGCCAAACAACTGTCAGAAATCATATTGCAAAGCCTGTCATAAACGTACCAGTCAGTTGTCTTTAAGCTACCATGTTGCTACTCCTCCAGAGTTTTGATGATTTTATTTGGCCATGAAGATGACGACCAGCGTGTGCACCTGTGGTCTGAGTAAGTCAGTGGGCCTGGAAGATTAATGAGCTTGGCCCAGGCTGGCTATGGGAGGCCCAGCCACGCACCCTGTTGTTTTCCAAGGCTTTGCCTGCATCCGGCTGGCATTTCTAATCCTGCCGTGGGGTTTGGCTCCAGTTCCCTCCCTCGCCCTCCATCTTATTTATCAATAACATGTGAATTAGAGCAGAAGCTAACGGACAGATAATGAGCTGGAAGCGACCAATCCTTCCACCTTGGGAGGACAGCTGTGTCCCAGAGGGCTGGAGGCGCCACATTCCCTACAGTCACTTGATTTTCAGTTTTTAGGGTCCTGCGTGTCGTGGTCTGATAGGACTTTTGACTGAATATGGAAAGGGATTTAGGAGTAGACAAGAATAAGAAGTAGAATGTTCACATTCTCCCCTCCTCTCCTCTCCTCTCCTCTCCTCTCCTTTCCTGAGACAGAGTCTCACTCTGTCACTAAGGCTGGAGTGCAGTGGCACAATCTCAGCTCATTGCAACCTCTGGCTCTGGGTTGATGCAATTCTCCTGCCGCAGTATTCCAAGCAGCTGGGATTACAGGCACCCGCCACCTCGCCTGGCTAATTTTTGCTTTTTTAGTAGAGACAGGGTTTCACTGTGTTGGCCATGCTGGTCTCGAACTCCTGACCTCAAGTGATCCACCCACCTCAGCCTCCCAAAGTGTTGGGATTACAGGCATGAGCCACCGCAACTGGCCTGTGCAAATAAGTTCTTCTCAAAAGTTCTGGAAGCAATCTGCAAGTCACTAAATAGTTCTCATGATGGTTTGGGAGCTTGATGTCCTCTTAGGGTATTTTTTGTGTCATTAGCTTCAGAAACAAAGGAATACAAAGAACACTATTTATCATATTGCTGGGCCCAGCAGTTGTTTGGGTAATAACCTCTAAACAGAAGATGATGGCACTTAGCTAAATAAGCACCCATCAGGTGGAGAAGAAAAATGGCCACATATTCTCTAGCTGTTCGTGAAGTTAACTAGGGAATGTATGGACACACACATTCTTTTTGACCATTCTCACCAACATAATTGAGAACAAAACAAATCAGTCATTTTGAATTTATTTTGAAACAATCATGATTTCATGTATTGTGAATCACTTTTATACAGCAGAGCTGATGTGTATGTGTGTGTGTGTACTTTAAAAACCTTAAAATACAGAAAAGCCTCGCTGCTCATTAGATATCTGGCATCTGCTGCTCTATTCCAAGTGATTAACTCATCTGCAATGACTTCTTACCCCTTTGGATAAATCAGACAGTGTCACTGGCTACAAGAATGGTGGTGGTAACCCTGTATTCTATGAAGCAATTATCTAATGAACTCTAGATATTTTTATGTATTTCAGAAGGGACTTTTGAAAAGGTCTTCCAACACTTCCATCCCTGACAGCCATTAGTGGGGGAAAAAAAAAAAAAAAAAAAAAAACACGGAAGAAGCATCCACACTTCACACCCTCTATCCCTGATGTTCTGCTGGGATTTGACAGATGGAAACACAGCAGTAGTTTGCAAGTGACTGCCAAATGGGGCAGCCAGACTGAGCAGGGCGAGAAGAGGTGTTATTCAATTGCTGGAAGACAGATGCTTTTCTCCGAGCCTCTGCCTTCTCTCCAGTAGCCATTCGCTGACACTACTGTGGTGCAGTCACACTCGCCAGGTAGAAGGAGCTGGAGCCAGAGCCCCACCCTCACCACCAAGGGAAGAAAGCTCTCAGCTTCTTCATTTTGCAGAGGACGAAATCTTGATGCATAGTGGGAAAATGACTTTACTAAGGACATGGTACAGCCTCCACCTCCAGCACAGTGCTCAATCCGTCATATTTCCAATGATTCATTGCCACCATAGAACCTAAGAGGGATTTAGGATCTGTAAGTCCTTCTGTCATCAATGGTTTCTACAATTTGCACTGAAGAGGGAAAATAAAGCTCCATTTTGGTTAATGAGCATTATTTATTTGTTTTTTGAGATGGAGTCTCGCTCTGTCGCCCAGGCTGGACTGCACTGGTGCTATCTTGCCTTACTGCAACCTTCACCTCCTGGGTTCAAGGGATTCTCCTGCCTTAGCCTCCCAAGTAGCTGGGATTACAAGCATGTGCCACTACCACACCTGGCTAATTTTCGTATTTTTTTAGTAGAGATAGGGTCTCACCAAGTTGGCCAGGCTGGTCTCGAACTCCTGACCTCAGGTGATCCACCTGCCTCAGTCGCCCAAAGTGCTGGGATTACAGGTGTGAGCCACCGCGGCCCGCCAATGAGCATTATTTTTGGACTCTGCTTCTCTCCTTGGGATACAGATAAATTATCTGTCCGTTGTTTTCTTTTCTTCCCATGGACCTTATCCAGTTCCTGCCTTTGGGTTATTGTATTTCAGTATCTTATTATTTTTAAAAGAGAAAGAAACTGAAATTGAATCAGGGCCTTTATCTTGCTATCTCCGAAACTATTTGATTTAAAACCTGAACACTAAGCTGACCGATCTCTCTGCTTGCTCTAAGTAAACAAATGAATCAGGAGGCCTGCAGTGAGAACTCCTCCAGCTTTGGCTGAGACCGTCAGGCTCTGAAACAGGGGTGTGTTCTGGAACTCCTAGGGTGACTGTTTTAGCTTGAACTTCCCATGGGGAAAATGACTGCCCTGTTTTCTATTCTAATGCTAATGACCTGTCTTTGGGAGTTCGAAGCTGGATCAATCATCAAAGTAACTTCCTATTTCTAATTTTCACACTCAGCCTACTTTGCTTTTTCACCAGACCCACTCTCCACCTTCACTAATTTTAGGTAAAAATTTACAGAAGTCGGTTGGGCATGGTGACTCACGCCTGTAATCCCAGCACTTTGGGAGGCCAAGGCAGGTGGATCACGAGGTCAAGAGATCAAGACCATTCTGGCCAACATGGTGAAACCTCGTCTCTACTAAAAATACAAAAATTAGCTGGGCGTGGTGGTACGCACCTGTAGTCCCAGCTACTCTGGAGGCTGAGGCAGGAGAATGGCTTCAATCTGGGAGGCGGAGGTTGAAGTGAGCTGAGATCACGCCACTGCACTCCAGCCTGGTGACAGAGTGAGACTCTGGTTCAAAAAAAAAATAAAAAAATTACAGAAATCCAGTAAGGTTTCAGATACCATGCTAGACCTTTTCCAATAGGAATGAAAAAGTAATACCCACCTCCCCGCCCCGCTTGTTCTCTTCCCACATTCAGAATTAGTTGAGTTGGGCAATTGTATTACAGAAAAAATGGAGAATTTTTTCTGGAGAATGATGCTTCAGTCTACTGGCCAAGTGGGCTTGTTAATACCATGCCCCTAAATGAGATATACTTTCCGTGCCATGGACAGTGTTACTGCTAAACAACCACAGGCCACCCTCCTTGAGAACCGGCCAAGAGTATGTACTAACTGGTACATTCTAAGAGATGGAGGAGTAAAGTGCTAGACGGTATTCAGCTCCTTCTCCCAGACTTTTTTAATTTTTATTTTTACTTTTATTTTTATTTTTGAGACAGAGTCTCTCTCTGTCACCCAGGCTGGAGTGCAATGGTGTGATCTCGGCTCACTATAACTTCCACCTCCCAGGTTCAAGCGATTCTCCCTCCTCAGCCTCCTGAGTAGCTGGGATTACAGGCACCCACCATCATGCCCAGCTAATTTTTGTATTTTTGTAGAGACAGCGTTTCACCACGTTGGCCACGCTAGTCTTGAACTGACCTCAGGTGATCCACCCACCTCGGCCTCCCAAAGTCCTGGGATTACAGGCGTGAGCCACTGTGCCTGGCCTCCTCCCAGACTTGACAATCAGATGCCGCTTAGCCTCTTTGCCTGGGGTAGAGTTTATAAAAAAAGTGGAGAGGAGTTTGGAGCAAGACTCTATCTCACTAGCAGGAATAAGGGTTCCCCTACCACACTGTGTGCTTATTTGGGAAGAGTCAGGACTCTCCTCACCCCAAGTCTCTGGACCCTGAGTCTAGGGTTCGGTATACTATATTTATTCCACTGTAACAGGTGACAGCAGGAGCTCTTTAGCAATAAATAAAAATCTACCAACACTAAGACATCTGCTCTTCCTTTTTAAAAAAGAGAAAAATATCAGTAACCCTTTTAGAAAACTACTTCTGACTTCTCAGACTGATCTAACTTCTTTACTTATAAAAGGTATAGGAGCATTTTCAAATCACATACCTCAGATTGGAAAGAGTTTGAATCCACAGTTTGAAAAGGCTTGGTGGACAGCCCCACCATTGTTTCATCCAGTGTATGTGCCCTGGGAAGTATTGCAGTTAAAAAAGCAAGGATGACTTTTGTTTGTTGGAACAAAGTATTGAACAACTTTTTTCATTAGTAGGATTGGATTTCCACCCAGGGTGGGTGGTAATTAATGATCAGGATTTGTGACATGGCTTTCAGCCTGCTGAATTCACTGCTGAAAATCCAAAGCTGAAGAAACTGGTGCACTCAAACACAGAACTTTCCATCTTCTGTCAACTGACATCATCCTGTAGGCAGCTGCAAACCAAAGGAAGTAAGCTCTCAGCTGGGTTGTCTAATGCAGCTCATTTCAAACTCAGTAGCAGTTTCTATCTTCTGCCCTGTCGGTGAATGCTCCCTTGGGGATAATGCCCTATATCGCTGACATGCTGGTTACATGAATTTGTCCACTAAGGGTGTGGAGGGGAAAAGTTCAATGTACAAAAGAGGCAGACAATGAGCAGACTTTGCTTCTAGATTTTTTTTTTAAGATAGTTAATCAATAGTGTACTCTTTGTACATGTTCCTTTTTTGAGGAAAATCCTTTCTTTAAAAAAATAAATTTTTAATGTAATTGTTTTACATTTAATTTAAAAAATTAAAATTAATTTTAATTTTTGGTGATAGTTTAATGCTGACAAAAGTCTTAATTTCCCATTTTCCAATGAGTTAACAGACATATACAGAGTTTTACAAATTTTGCCTACAACTCACCCAATTTGTCACGTAATTTTGAATTTTAACATTTCAAAAGACTTCATTAAACAAATAGACTTTCTTGGGGAAGGACTGGATTGGTGTTTGACATTGGCTAAACAAACACTCAGGGATGTCATAGATTCCCACTACGCAGATGTGTAGGGCACCATGCAGTTCATGGATTGGACATCACCTTAAACCCATGGGCACTATTACATAGAATAGGTAACTGAGTCATGGTGGATGCTAGAGATCAGGACTCTCTGCTCAGTTGCAAAGTGGTTGGAGGGCCACTATTTTAGGCTCAACTCATTGCTCCCCGTCTCCACTGCCCACCCCCACACATGATTCCCAGCATACATCGTTGGTCTTGAAACCAGTTCCCACTTTTTTGGCTCTCAACTCACATTGCCCCTCTCTGGGAAGCTCTTTCTTCATCCCATCATGTAAGGGCATCTCATCCTTGTCAAGGAGCTTTTCTTGATCACACAACTTTCCTCCATCTCTGTCTTCTCAAAGCCTCTGCAAAACCTTTGCCTGTACTGCAATCTAGAATATCTTCTCTCTAGCTCGATGACAAATTTATTGGAAGCAGAAACCACGTATTTTATTTGTTACAGAATCTTTGAGCTAGAAGGAATCTTATGGTAAGAACGAACTTACCATAAGATGAATAAAAGATAAATGTAGAAATACTAGAGAAATGTAAAGACCAATTCAAGGTCACAAAATCATTTTACCTAAGCCTGCTTTTCCCCTGATGTCCCAATTTGAATCATACTGACACCCGGTGTATAAATCACACCAAAAGACAATCAAGTTACTCCTTTGAAATAGGGAAAAATATAACACCAAACCTGAGTTCATAAAGAAACCAAAAGATTAAAACAAGAAAGGTTATATAACTGAAAGAAAAGAAACTGATGAATATCAGGATACCTACTGCTCTCATATCAGGATTGTTTCTTTATTTTATTAATGTGATGGCAAACCAGTTTGAAAACAGTGACTCTATAAACAAGATGAACTTAGATCGAGTGACTATGATTATTTCCGGAGTGCAAATAATTGCCAAATGTATTCATCAGCATGTTCCAGAGAAGCAGAACCAACAGGATGTGTGTGCGTGGGTGGATGGATGGATAGATAGATAGACAGATAGACAGATAGATAGACAGAGATTTGATTTATTATAAGAAACTGCTCATGCCATTATGGAGGCTGACAAGTTGCAAGATTTTCGGGGAGAGTTGAGAATTCTAAGACCCAGGAGAGTCAATGGTATACATTCCAATCTGATGGCCAGCAGGGTTGAGACCTAGAAGAGCCAGTGTTTCACTTTGAGTCTGAAGGTGGGAAAAAGTCAACATCCCCGTTCAAAGGCAGTCAGGCAGGAGGAATTCTCCCTTATTTAGGACAAGGTCAGTCTTTTTGTTCTATTGATTCCTCCAACAGATCGACTGAGGCCCCCACCCACATTAGGGAGGGTGATTTGCTGTACTCAAGTCTATCAATTTAAATGTTCAGCTCATCGAAAAAACAGCCTCACAGGAACACACAGAAGAATGTTTGACCAAATACCTGGGCTACCCCTTGATTTAGTAAGCTGACACATAAAATTAATCATCACACTATATTTTATATCAAGTCAAATTTCTCTTTCTCACTTCTGAATAATAGTGAAGTTTTCAGATTCTATAAAATTTCTTTGCCTATTTGCATGTTTTCCTTCCTTCCTTTCTTCCTTCCTTTCTTCCTTCCTTCCTTCTCTTTCTTTCTTTCCCTCCCTCCCTTCCTTCCTTCCTTCCTTCCTTCCTTTCTTCCTTCCTTCCTCTCTCTCTTTCTTTCTCCTTCCTTCCTTCCTTCCTTCCTTCCTTCCTTCCTTCCTTCCTTCCTTCCTTTCTTTCTTTCTTTCTTTCTTTCTTTCTTTCTTTCTTTCTTTCTTTCTTTCTTTCTTTCTTTCTTTCTTTCTTTTCTTTCTTTCTTTTTCTCTCTCTCCCTTTCTTTCTCTCTCTCTTTCTTTCTTTTTTTCATTCACTGTGTCACCCAGGCTGGAGTGAAGTGACAAGATCATACCTCACTGCAGCCTTGAATTCCTGGGCTCAAGGTATCCTCCCACCTCAACCTCCTCAGTTGGGACTACAGGTGTGTACCACTATGCCCAGCTATTTGTATGTTTTTGTAGAGATGGGGTCTCACTATGTTGCCCAGGCTGGTCTGCAACTCATGGGCTTAAGTGATCCTTCTGTCTTGGCCTCTCAAACTTTTGGGATTACAAGCGTAAGTATCATGCCCAGCCACCTTTTCTTTCTTATGGCTTAAACACCTATGTTTCTGACTCGTGCCTGACTTGTGCTAGTGCTGATGGACAGAAGTTTCATTTCATTTCCATGTAAAACCATGAATTGCGTTACTTAAATACAGATTTGCTTATAGGCATTTTAGCTTAAATTTAGCTGTCTCTAGACCCTGTATACTGTGGTATACAAAGAACTCTGCTGTCTCTATTGAGTAGAACAGGACATCCGCAAATATATTTGTTTGCCCTGAGAACTGTTTGTGGTCATGCAACATGTTGTTTAAAGATCTTTTATCAAAACATTTTACTTAGTAGAGCCACAAGAACAAACACATACAGAAAATCTGACACGAGTGACTATTTATAGAACCATTCCTTTAGAAAAGGACTGCTGAGCATTTGACGGAGGTGGTAGAAAGGATAAAGGAGAGGAGACTTGACTCCAGCTTCTGCTCTGACTCTAAATAGTTGTCTGACCTTGGACAAATCATTGTGTCATCTCTAGTGATTTCTCTGGCTCTAGAAAACACTACTTCTAAAAATTAGAGATTATTTTTTCCTTCTTCTCATGGTTAAGAAAAAAATGAAAGATTACACAAATGGAGATAGGAAAACTATGTGTATTTGGAAAACTCTGGAAATTTGCACCATTTAATTCCACATTTCAATTGTATCACCTTTTTTTGTTTTTGTATTTTTGTTTGTTTGTTTTTTGAGATGGAATCTTGCTCTGTCGCCAGGCTGGAGTGCAGTGGTGCAATCTCGGCTCATTGCAACCTCTGCCTCCCAGGTTCAAGTGATTCTCCTGTTCTCCTGCCTCAGCCTCTTGAGTAGCTGGGAGTACAGGCACCTGTCACCACTCTTAGCCATTTTTTTTTTTTTTTTTTTTTTTTTTTAGACAGAGTTTCGCTCTTGTTGCCCAAACTGAAGTACAATGGCGTGATCTTGGCTCACCACAACCTCCACCTCCCGGGTTCAAGCGATTCTCCTGCCTCAGCCTCCCAAGTACCTGAGATTACAGGCATGCACCACCACACCAGGCTAATTTTGTGTTTTTAGTAGAGACGGGGTTTCTCCATGTTGGTCAGGCTGGTCTCAAACTCCTGACCTCAGGTGATCCACCCACCTCAGCCTCCCAAAGTGCTGGGATGACAGGCATGAGCCACCATGCCTGGCCTAATTTTTGTATTTTTAGTAGAGAGGGGTTTCACCATGTTGGCCAGCATGGTCTTGATCTTTTGACCTAGTGATCTGCTTGCCTCGGCCTCTCAAAGTGCTGGGATTACAGGCGTGAGCCACTGTGCCCAGCCCATATCATCTTTTAAAATATACTTTCAATTAGGTTTTGTGTTGTTTGCTTACAGAATAATATGCATTTTTATTTTATTTTTTGCACTTTGTGAGTTGTCACAGTTTTCCCATGCCAATTTTTTTTTCAAAATAATCCATAACCTAAGGTATGAGATTAAGTGAGAGCTTTTCTCAGTGCTACCTGAGAACTAACTCTATTTTTCATCCTACGGGAAGCCGGATTTGACAGCTAATGGATCTGTTTTGTTCTAAAACTACCACCTGTTCCAAGGCACTTTTTAAGGTTTTAATCATCACCATTATGTGTGAGATATAAATATATATTCATAATAATTCATTTCAAAGAAAAAGGTAAAAGCACAATTACACTTAGACGTAAAAGATATATTTAAACAAATGTAACTCAGTTTAGATATCAGCAAATGAGGAAATTTAATGTACCCACTGACCCTCTAGCTATAAACACATTTGATATCTCTAAACACTAAAAGACTTCTTAGTGCAACAGAATTGTAGGCAATACTGGAGGTTATAATACTACACACAGCTTCCAAACAAGTGTCTACTAATTTCAGGAGCGCTACGCAGCAGACATGAGTGATCCCTTTAGGGGCAGCTCTCAGGTACACAGATTTCTTTTCTAGGCAGCGACATGTCGGTACTGCTGCTGGTACCTGCTAGCATTTAAATCTTGGGCTCAGGAGGCCAGGTGCAGTGGTTCAACCTGTAATCCCAGCACTTTGGGAGGCTGAGGTGAGTGGATCACTTAAGGCCAAGAGTTCGAGACCAGCCTGGCCAACATGGCGAAACCCCATCTCTACTAAAAATACAAAAATTAGCCAGGTGTGGTGGCATGTGCCTGTAGACCCAGCTACTCAGGAGATTAAGGCAAGAGAATCGCTTGAACCAGGGAGGCGGAGATTGCAGTGAGCATAGATCGTGCCACTGCACTCCAGCCTGGGTGACAGAGCAAGCCTGTCTCAAAAATAAAATGAAAATAAAATAAAAAACAAATGTTGGGCTCAGATTCAGCTCTATGCCTTCACTTACCCAACTTATTCATTCAACCCTTCCTCCAATTCTGTCATTCAATTAAGTCTTCCAAGATAAATTGACCAAAATAGTTCAAACCCGGTTTTTGCCCTTTGTAACCAAAGAAATTCCAGACTGATGTATAACATATCAAAACATAGCTGCCCTTTGTTCTACTCCTTTACCTTTCATGCTCTAGCCAATCTGTTAAAATAATCCATAGTACAAATTCACTAGGTATCAATAATGTCTTATCCCTTCCAGGTAACACAGATGCCTTTTAAGCTTAACTTCAGGAGGCATTTGCCTTCATCTGGGAAACCCCAGGTGGTCAGTAGTAAGGAGATTTGGGGCAGAGAAAAGGTATGTTCCATTGCTCTTTAGAGATTTTGGTATAAGTACACCTGATGCGAGTCTAAAATAGAGCTGCTTTGGTGAGAAGAGAGAATCTGTTTTCCTCTTTCCCTAAACTGAGAACAAGTCATGAAAGAGGCTTCGGGGGCCATCTGGGTAGCAAACATCATGGACAAGAAGATGCTGTTTGACCATAAGAGGGCAGTTCCTGGAAAGCATGCAGTATGTGCAGGCCCGTGGTTTAATGCTGGGGGATAGCTCCCGGACTTGGGTTGAATAGGGGCACAGGAGTGGGTAATAAGGGGATCATTCCAGAGGGGAAATGGCTGGTAGAAAGACTGATGGGGCAGGGGGCCTGGCTCAGTGGCCTGCAGAGTGGTGAGGTTGGGGGCTGTCCTACTGACTGGGGGTGAGTTAATGAATCATAAGATTGGGAACTTAAATGTAGGAAGCATGTGATACAGGCATTTGAATTCGACAGTGGCTTGAACATAGATTCGTCAATGGAGAAATGTCATGATTGAAATGGGATTTATGTCAGATTGCTCTCTAGGCTGTGTAGGAAATCTAACTCTGTAGAGTAAGGCCAATGGAAGAGCCCCAGACATAAGACTAGTGCCAAAATTGCAGGAATATATTGGAAGGGATGGGTCAAGAGGATACAAATACAGGACTCAGAGATGACTCACTATTGGGGAAAGAGAGAGAAGGGCGGGATAGAAGTTGACTCAAAGTCATAAGCCTCAGGAACTGAGAGGCAAGTTCTCTCAGTGTTGCTGTTTGAATATGGGAAGGAGGGAACAGGGATTAAGAGAACTCAACACTAAATATTTAAGAAAAAAGATTCAAGTGGTGCTTTGAAACTTGGTAGTTCTTCTAAGATGAGAATTCCAAAAGGGAAAAGGAACTTTTAATTTTTTTTCCCTCACTCACTGACTATTCAACAAAACCACTGGGCAGGAAGAGAATTGGGTCTCCCTGGCCTTCCTCTAGGAAATATCTAAACTACTCAACTCAGGTAGCTCAGTAAGGAAAGTATTTTACAGGAGATTTTTTCTGCCAAGAGACTTATGTAGGTATTCTTTATCATTCTTGCTCTCTCTGTGGGAAGAGGGGTTGTTTGAAAAATTAAGTAAATGATGAATAATGATGATTAGGAACAATTGTAAAAGCAAGTAAGGCCTGACCTAAATTATTTTTATAACATATTCTCATGATCTGCAGAAACCATTCTAAGTTTTAGGCAAGGGAGAAAAATGTGAAGTCCAATTGTCTGGTTTTCCTAAGTGTGGAGTTAGGTATGAATGTATCAGACCCATCAATTATAGTTGTGATACACAGCCTCTGAAAGAAAATAAATTATCTTTCCCACTGCCCTCTATTCTTTCAGTAGGAGTAGCCATGTTGTGTGTCATGTGACCAAGCCCCCTCAGCTGATCAGAGCCTGGTGAATCAGCTGACCCAAGGGCAACCAATCCATGACCAGGAACCAGGAAGAGGTTTGCAAAGAAGGTCTGCCTAGACAGGGGCAATGGTGATTAAGTAGACCAATCAAATTATTTCTCTTGGAAATTTTTATTCTTAAAACTCAATAGAGACCATCTGAAAAAGTAACATCTCCATCACTTCAAAGTTCACGTCTACCTTTTTGATCTCTGTTGCCAATTCACCAGAAGCCCCTGTGATGATTACTATTCTTGATCTACTAACAAGTTCCCCCAGATTTCTAGGCTGGCATTACCAGCAGAGGTGGGTTTCCCTGCTGTTGGCTGGAATAGTCTCAC